CGCCGAGGCCTGTTTGCCCAGTCCGGCATCGTGTGCTGCCGGCGGTTTAGGCCCCCTGTGTTTGCCTAGGCCGGCAGATCCAGCACAGCAATTAGGTCCCGCCATAATGGGCTCTGCACCAGCCAGTCTCGAGAACTCCGACGTTCCCGCCAAGCCCTGCCCTGAGTGTCCGAAGCTACCTGGTCCCGTCCTGCTGTCGGCGTCCACCGATGCCCTTTGTTTGCCCAGTCTGGCAGAGGACCCAGCACGCCCCTGCCCCGACAAGGATCCGCTGTCGCGGCCCGGTCTCGCCCTGGCACCAACAGAAGAGACAACACCGCAGCCTGCTTTTCGCGTGACCCCGTCAGCAAGCGAAATCGCGGAGGACAACCCCTCGCCTCCAAATCCTTTGGGCAAGGATCCGTGTGCGGCAGTGGCCAACCTTCAAGGACCCATGGACCTATAACTCTTCAACCCTTCGTCCTCGATCGACTGTAACCCCAAACCCCTAAACCCTAAACCCGAAACCCCAGAACCCCTCCTAAACCCCAAAACCCTAAACCCTAAACCCCAGAAGCCACCCTCCTCTCCCCAGCACCCGAATCGTGAGGACCCGAGCTTCCATCTCCATCTCCACCTGTGGCTGCTGCAGCTCCCCAGCCTTTTTTCATGGCCAGTGACCACTGGCAAGGATCCCTGCAAGGATGCTACTTCGGCAAGGGTGATCGTGGCCAGGGATACTATGAGCTGCCGGTGGCTACGTCTCCTGATGATGCTGCTGCACAGCCTGTTTCGCTCCTTGCCTGTGTAGTGCATCACATTCATGCTTGACTCACTGATGTCGTACGTATATAGATAACACATACATGTGTCACATGCTTGTTCGCCATCCCAGGATCCTGAGGAAGCCACCGCAGGAGACCAACAAGGCTGCTTGCACGCACGTGAAGTTCAAGGATTTGACCCAGGACAATATCAACAAAATGTTTCGAGTCCCCACGGCCCCAAAGCAGCTGCAGGAAGAAACCACGGATGCTGCGCCTGTGGCTACGCAGACCCAGAAGACCATCCATTGGAGCATGCCTGAGGCTGGCCTGGTGACGGTGCGGGATACGTATGGGGTGAAGTTCAAGGAGGTCCCATGGTGGGATGGAGCAAAGGCTGGTTTCTATTTTGGCACGTGGACTCACGATGACGGCAGGGTCTTGCTCGGCTACGTGTCGGACAGGGGTGTTATTCCTTGCTCAGCCTTCCTAGGCAAGAAAACCAATCGCATCTACACGACTCGGGATGGAATCCTGGGCTATCATCATGATGTTGGCCCGTCTGCCATCAAGACCGACAGTCTTATTGATCAGGAAGTGCGGAAGCTCGGGTGGGGCGTCTCGATCTGCCCTGAGCCATGCAGCTCCTTCGGGCCCCAGCAGCCGGAGCCGGAGCCGACGTGTCCAGAAGACCTCCCTTCTGCAAAGCTCCAGCAAGCACCGTCCGTGGATGATGAAGAGGAGGCCTACACCCTCCGGGCGGCGACGATGATGCTGAACCGTCTGAAGAAAAACAAGGGACGTTTGTCTGCGCTGGGTGACAAACTCAAAAGCATGGTTCTCTCAGACGATCCCGAGGTCACCAAAAATCTGAAATCACTCATCATGAAAAACAATGGTAACCTTAAGGAGGTGGAGCTTCAGAGCCAGGACATCGTCGAAAGCAATGACGGG